CCTTCAAGTCTCCTCTCACTCCTTCGAAACTCTTGGACAAGCCTCGTCCGCAAGAGGCTCTCAATTCCCCTGCCAGTCCTCGAGACTTGACGAATTCCTTGAACTCCGAGGATACCGCCTTCCTTACGACCTCATCAGAGGAAGCCATACGAGTGCAACTCTGACCGCTGACACGCTCCATCACCTTATTCAAATTGACGAACACTCTTACTTCAACACGACACGAGAAAATGATTAAGAACCAACTTCACTTGATCAGAAAAATGCGATAGAACTTGAACATGCGTTGCAACTTGGGAAACTTGGGAAACTTTAGTAATCAGGGTGATATATTTCTCGCTCGCCTCAGAACACGTTGATCGCCAGGCAGGCGTGTAGGACTTGGACTGTAACCTGTCACGTAGTCGGGATCATTGACAATAGTCCCAGTATAGCTATAGAATCACGGTTGCCGGCACAATGATTCAATAATCATTGTACCACTGCGGTTGAAGAGAGGGAGAAAAGTTTGCTGCTGGGCCCCATAATGGGGTCCAGCAGCAAAATTTTCATCTATTTGCAGAACAGCAACTGAGGAACGGTGGTTCCCTAACACTGCAGCGCCGATAATCACAGTAGATCGCAAACTCCATTCATCGGAGGACCTTGTTTGTACCCAAAATCATGTCAGGATTACACATTCCATCCATCATGTGGACTATGGGAGCTTTCGTCATCTTCTCCATTGCATTGAGTGATGCCAAGCTTTTCGACGGCGTGGATATTGGCCCTCCTGGGCAACTCGACCTAATCGAGGGTTCAATGCCTCAGGAGACGACTAAGCCATTCAGCTTCAGTGATCTGACCCTATCTCCCACATATTTGTAAGTCAGCATTCGAGATCCACGCGAGTTCCCACCCTCTTGCTTTCAGGTTCTTCACGACTACAACGGTCGCACCACCGCCCGAGATCGAGAAGGCCGGAAACAGCGCTTCCGCTGAACCTCCTACGGATTATTCAGCAGTGCTCACTGCTATGCTCGCTCTCATCATTTTGATGTCAGCCGTGGGGTTGATGCAACTCCTAGTGCTAATGAAAGTGATGATGGCGATGCAGAGCCAGGATGGGAGGCCCGATCTTGAAGAGGGGCATTCGGTGAGACAATGTCACTGTTTGGAT